CCCCTCCTGCTGCGGCTGCGCCGCCTGGCTCACGCGCTCGCGGAACTTTTCGTACCGGCTGAGCGCGCGCTCGAAGATGGGCTCGTTGGAGCCGCCGGCCGCCTCGCCACGGTACACGAGCTGGGCCTGCGGGGCGAGTCGTGGGCGTGTCGTGGGCGTGTCGTGGTCGTGACGTGGGCGTGTGTCGTGGACGTGTCGTGGCGTGTGTCGTGGACGTGTCGTGGACGTGTCGTGGACGTGTCGTGGACGTGTCGTGTGGACGTGTCGTGGACGTGCCCGCCGTGGAGGCCGGTGAGAGCGTCCCGCCAAATCTCAGCTAGATCTCCGCTAGATCTCGCGCGCCGTGATGTCGTCCCGCTCCGCGAGCGCGCGAGCCTCGGCGATGGCGGCGGTGCGAGTCTCGGAGCAGGAGGAGAGGGAGGCGAGGAGGGTGCGGATGTCGCCGACGCACTCGAGGTCGGCGAGGCGCGACCCCTCCTCCGCCTGCGGCACCCTCCCGGCCAGCGCCCCCGCGTCGAGGTCGAGCAGCGAGAGGCAATCCTCGTGGTCGGCGTGGTGCGTCGAGAGCGCCTCGTTCGCAGCCTCCGCCTGCGCGATCTCCTCTCGCGTCTGCGCCAGCTCGCGCCGCGCATCGGCGGTGAGAGCCTGCTCACGCTTCGAACGCGTGAAGAGGCGCTGTTCACAGCTACAACCGCGTGCGTCGGCGGCGAAGGGCCGAGGAGCGGACGCACGCCCACCGCTCCCCGTGCTGCTGGTGAAGCTGCGCGTCGGCGCCCTCCTCGACCTCGAGGAGAGCGTCGATCGACATGGCGAGTGAGTCGAGGTCCTACGGGCACGGCTCGAGCAAGCCTCCGGCGGGGCTTCAAGAAGCGCCGGCCTGGTGAGCAAAGGGGGGGCCTTTGTCTTCTGCTTGACGTTAGCGAGCATCTCGCCCAGCGCCGCCGCGCCGCCAGAGCCGTGCACCCTTGCCACCGCCTCGCTCAGCGCCGCCGGAAGCTTCGCGTCGTCGTCGCAGGCGGCGAGCGCGTGCGGCAGCCCCATCGCAAAGAGCTCCGCCTGCGAGGGGGTTCCGACGGGGCGGTGTCGTGGTCGCACCCTCCTCAGCAGCAAGCCCTCGCCGCCTCACCCGCCCTATTCGACCGGCTCCGACCTCGGCCGCACCTCGGCCGCACCTCCACGCCTCGACTAGATCTCGGCCACGTCTCGGCTACATCTCGCGCTATCTCCGCCTCAGCGGTCGAGTCGAGCGACTCCACCTCGTCGCCGAGCTGCCTACTCGAACACATCGCCGGAGGATCGCGGCAAGCCCGCTCGCACCGCCCGGCTCGCCCTCGCCGCTGCGCTGCCGCAACACGTCGTCTCGCGAGGCGTAGTAGACAGAGGCGTCCTCGAGCACCTGGCGGGCTCCGTCTCGGGACTCAGGAGACACTCTCGGAAGCAGGCCGCGACGCGCTGTCCTTGTTAGCGCCGTCAGCGGGACGAGCGAAGCGAACGGGTCGAAGCCCGAGTCGAGGGCAGAGTCGCGCCCGTCGTCGTCCTCCTCGGGCGGCGGCGGCGCCTGCGGGGCGGTGTCGTGGACCACCCTCCTCTGGGCGGCGGCGCCGGAGGGGGCCGGCTCCGAGGGTTACATCTCGGCCACATCTCGGCCACATCTCGGCTAATCTCGGCGCCGGAGGGGCCAGCTCCGATGGCAGCGTCGGCCGGACAATCGCCTTCGGCTCGATCGTCGGCAGCGACGAGAACGGCGGCACCCTCTCAATGTAGACAGTGGCGTTGTGCTTCTCCGCCACCGCCTCGGCCTCGCGAATGCTGTTCGCCGCCGTGTTCATCGCCAGAGCGCACGCCTCGCCGCCCGGCACGCCCGCCGCCTTGGCGGCCGCCTCGCCGACGAGCTCCGAAGCGCGCCGCAGCCGCGCCACCTGCGAGCCGCGCAGCCGCAGGCGGCCGGAGTCAGGGGTCAGGGCCAGGGCCAGTCTCTAGGAAGTGTCTAGGAAGTGTCTAGCAAGTGTCTAGCAAGTGTCCAGCAAGTGGCTCTCGCCTGCGATCCGTACTCGTACGCGTCTTCGTGCTCCGAGGCGGCGTGGAACCTTGCGCGCATGTCGCGACATGTCATGGGCGTGTCCTGGAGGCGTCCTCGCGGTCCGAGGGTGCGCGGAACTGGGCCCACGACTCGAAGAGCGTCGCCTGCGCCTCCGCCTGCGCGATGAGGGAGAGGAGCAGCGGCGGCGCGACCTTGTCCGCCGTCTCGGCCTGGTACCGCTCTCGCTCGTCGCGAGTCATGTTTGCCTTTGGGTCCTGGAAGTACGGGTTGGCCTTCTTCTTCTTGGCGGGCCCCTCCACCTGCCCACACCCGCACGCGTCAAGAGACGCTGCCCGCTCCCCTCCTCCCGCCGGCGACGCCCTGCTGGTTGCACCGCGTCCCCGCCGGGGCCCTCGCGCTCGCACGCGTCACGCAGCGCCTGCAGGAAGGGGCGGGGAAGAAGGGAAAGGGGGGGGAGGGGGGAGGGGGGAGGGGGGGGGGGGGCGTGTTACGCCCGGGTGGGGGGAGGAGGGGGGTCGCGCCTGGGTGCTCCGGGGTTTGCCGCGGGCGTGTCGGGTCTCGCTCTGGCGTTGTGGGGGCCGGCCCCCTCCTTGTAGAAGAGTCCCACCTGCGGTGCCCGAGGAGCGAGACTGAGACGCATAGCAACGCAAGGCCGCCTCCTTGCAGAAGGTGTACGCCTGCGCCGCCAGCTTCGCGACCACCGCGCCCTTCATCGCGTCGCGAGACGCCCGCTCAAAGAAGCACCGCTGCGCCTGCAGCCGGGGCTCCGAGACGCGTTCAGCAGTTCAGCAGAGAGCGGGCTCCGCGCCGAAGAGGGCCGCCGGAAGCGGCGCCTGGGCGAGCATGAGCGCGCGGAATCCCTCAAAGGCGGCAGGACGCACGTCGAGGGTGAGGCCCTTGTACGTCGCCCACCGCGTGCCCGCCGCGGAGCCGACGGCGGCGTCGAGGCAGCCCGCCGCGTGCTGGAAGTCCTGGCAGGCGGCGCGCAGGCCGTCGGCGTCCGCCGTGTTTTGGATGGTGGCTCGGTAGGAGAGGGCGGCCGCGAGGTTGAACATGGCACAGGCGCGCTCAAAGCCGAGCTGGGAGAGCGTGCACTTCGCCTCGGGGCGGAGCGCGTCGTTCCACGTGAAGGCGAGCTGCGCCTCGGTGCGGCGGAGAGCCTCGTCGACAGCGGTGCCAAAGCGCGAGCCCATCGAGGTGAGCAGCCGCGCGTACCGCGCGAGCAGGCCGACCGAGTCGTCGGCGTTCGCGTCGGAGAGCGCCTTGAGCGAGATCTGGCGCGACGACTCGCGCAGCGAATGCACCTCGCCGATCGCGGGCATGTGCGAGTCCGCCTGCTCGCGCGAGTACGAGATGGAGATGAAGGCCCACAGGCCCTTTTGCAGGTCCGCCTTTGACGGCTTCTTGAGGTCGAGGAATATCAAGTCCTCCATCCCCCAGAAAAGGTTCGTGGCCGGCGGTGGTCCGGGGCAGAGGGCCGCCGTTCCGTCCGCAAGGCGCCGACGACGAGGGGTTCTTTTTATTTCTCACTAGTGTGGGACCTGCGGCGGTACCCGCCTCTCTGTTGTTCGGGCAGTGAGAGACGCAGGATCTGCGGCACGCCAAAGTGGGCACTCCGCATTTGCATTTTTGTTTTGGGTTGTCGGAGATCATCCATCAGCACTCATGTCTCATCAGTCAGTCACGTCAGTCAAAGCAGTCGTGGCACGTGGAGCAGTCGCTGCATGCAACGACGCCGCCACACGCTCCGGACGACCCCGACACACCGACACACCACGCACAAAGGGAGGCTATCGCGCACGATCGGGCATCGCGCCGCAAACACCTCGCCGCACAGATGGGGGGGAGGCAGAATCCCACACACACCGGAGCAGCACAGACACCTTACACGTCAGCGCTCGCTCGATGTGGCCGGCGCTCTCCCCTCGGTCCTATCGCCTTTTCAACGGCGGCGTGCGGCCACGCGCCGCGCCGAGCCGGTCTCGGCGGGAGACCTCGGAGCCGCACGCGATGCGGGCATGCGCGATGGCTCAGTTGGCTCCGTGCCTAAGGCAGATCGATTAGGGTGTGAGCTGTGGCAGCCACCGTTTCTGTACCCGCTCGATCACGTGCAGGCCGTCGGAGGCCGCGCTGGATGGCCCAGGGCCGGCGGCGGTGAAGGCGTCCGTCGATGAAGGGATGTCGTCGAGGGAGCCATCGTCCTCCGTGGCTGGTGCACCGGTCCAGTTGTTGGAGTTCGAGATCGCCGTCGAATTGGAGACGTTCGGCCCGTTGACGAACTCACGGAATGTGAGTGACTTGGTGCACGCTCGGTCGAGCATCATGGCTCGCACCTCATCCTGGGCAAGGAACTCGCCCAGGGACCAGCTGTTGGCGTCGCCGTTTTGATCGAGCTGCATCCACTGCATGGTTTCGTAGCCAAGCGTAAACGCCCAGGAGTTGGTGCCTGGGTGACTTGCTGAGAGCGCCTTCCAGGCGGGTAGTCGTGCCCCTCACCTAAGGTCAGACGGCGGCGTCAGAGAGGGGGGAGGGGCGCGAAGCGTGAACATGGAGGCAAGCAGGTGGTTGCTGCACCTGGCCAAAGCCGGCGACCTCAAAGTTGTCGTAGCTTGTGCGGATATCGCTGAGCGTGAGAGGGACCGGATCGATCCGGGGTGAGAGCGTAGTGGAGACCGTCGTTGACCGTCCGCACGATGAGCGCAGGCCCGCAGCCAGATTTCCAGGGCAGATCGCCGACGAAGGCGTCGATCACGCACTCGGTGCGGGCGGCATGCTGATGGTAGGTCGGCATTTGCTGAAGGTAGGTCGGCATGCCGGGACGGTTTGCAATTGACTTGCTGATGAGAGCGCCTTCCAGGCGGGTAGTCGTGCCCCTCACCTAAGGTCATACGGCGGCGTCAGAAGGGGGGGAGGGGCGCGAAGCGTGAACATGGAGGCAAGCAGGTGTGGTGGCTGCACCTGGCCAAAGCCGACGACCTCAAAGTTGTCGTAGGTTGTGCGGGTATTGCTGAGCGTGAGAGGGACCGGATCGGCAGCAGCGCGGGCGGCAGCGGCCGGAGAGGCCGGAGAGCCGTCCGACGGAGGCCGGTCGTGCATCGGCGCGTCGGCCGCAGGGGCCGTGGGGGCGGCGGCATCCATCGCTGCGGGTCGCTGCGGGCCGACGATTGTGGACTGATCGATCGTCGGCGGGCGGTGTTCAGCTGGGACGTTCTACGTTAAAAGAGCGTCGGCGCCGACACGAGAGACTTATAAGGGTAGAAGCTGAAAGCTAACAAAAATTTTTCTATCAACCGGCAGCACCACGAAAGGCTGCGCTTTTGCACGCTCATGCTGGCCCTTCTCGCCGCGCCCGCGCTGTCGGTCGTCTCGACCGCCAGCGCCGCCTCCTCGCCGCGGCTGGCCGCGCGGAGCGCTCTGCTGCGCTCGCTCGAGCCAAACAGTCCGCCGCGCCTGCTCAACGCGGAGCACATGGCGCTGATCGGTCAGCTCGAGGCGGCAGGCACGACGCCCACGACTGAGGATTTTCTCCAGCTGGGCCTCCAGGGACGGTGGGCGCTGTGCGCGACAATCCGCAACGCAGGCTTGCTCGAGCCGGGAATGTCTCCCGCGCACGCCGCGGCCAGCGGCGCCGGCGGCGCGGGGGGCGGGCTGCTTCCGATCGGCATCGCCCGCGCGGAGACCGCCCTCAGCATCGGCAACAGCACGGTCCGCTCGCGAGCCTGGTTCCAGCTGCTCGATGGAGAGCGGAAGCAGGTGGGGGCGCTGCTCGACGTCGAGTCGCGGTTCGCGTTCGAGTCGGACAGCGTGACGGGCGCGAGGCTGTTGGCCCTCCGGCCCGCCCGCCCGCCTCGGCTCGCGCTCAAGACCAACGACCTCGGGTGCTCGATCGACGCGCTGGTCGAGGCGCTGCACGCACAGCTCTCGCCCGAGTTCGCTCTGGTGGAGGGCGAGCAGTATGACCGGCTCCGGCTGAGCACAACCTACCTGGACGAGTCGCTCTGGGTGGCGAGGGCGGCGCCCCACTGCTGCTCCGTCTTCTACCGCGCCGACGACGAGATGGCCTGGCTCTCGGGCGTCCAATAGCTTGGCTTGTCGACAACACCGTGCGCGGGGAAGGAGCGCGCGAAGCGCAGACTCCCCGCCTTCATTGGCAGCCTTGGCCGCACATGCGACATGCGCGGTCGTCGGGTGCTCTTGTCCTGTTCACGGCGCTTTCGCACAAAAGCGTTACGTCGTTGCTTGTGGTTCTCGTGGTGCTGCTGTGCACAGAATCCATAAAAAAGAAATAAACCTCGCGGCCAGAGGACAGCACAGAGTGTCAGAGGCCAGAGAGCGGCGCCGACTCCGAGCGTCACCGTCAGGCCGCGTCACACCAGGAGTCAGGACTTCACCATGTGGCGCAGGTCCTGACACGTTGCGACGGTGTATCATTCACTTTATGCCACCGTTGCATATCCAAACTGCATTGGGTCTCGAGTTCGAATCCCGCAGCAGTTCGACTCGGCGCAAAAAACCCAGACGGGCGTTGTCACTGGTTCGAAACCCACCTTAGCGTTCACCTGCTATCCGCCGGTACCCAAACCGGATGCATCTCCGCACGACCCAGGAATGCAGTTTTGCGACGGTGGATCATTGAGAATGATACACCGTCGCACACGTGACAGCCTCCTGACACCCCCAGCACCCCGTCACCCCCAGGCCCTCCCCAGCGCCGCCCGGGGGGCGGATAGAGAGGACAGAGCTCCACTATCTCGAGAGTTCGGTCTCTCGCGTCTCGGTCGCGAGGCCGAGGGTGTCTCGCTGCTCACCGATAGTTACAGAGTAGATTATGATACAAACGCAAGCCCATCACAAGACCACATACCGGGCGCGCACAAAGCGAAAATCGGCCACAGCCCACACACGCGGAGAACATGCCCCCCCAGCTCGATCCGCTCGGGCGGGGGGGAGGGGCGAGGGGCACAGAGCGACTACACCTATTTGGGCGCCCATCACAGACACAGGGTACACGCGCGTCACAGTACACACAGTCGCACATACAAGCTGAGGTGGGGAGAGATCGAGAGCAGGAGGAGGGTCGCCAAAAGTCACACCCACGTTTGCGCCTGGGCAGACGGCCACCGTAAACATATCGCAGGACTGCGTCGCCAACCTCGACGCGTCCATCCAAGCAACGCCATGAAAAACACAATTGCGCCCACGAGTGGTGCAGACTTGCGCGCGGGCGCGGGACGGCTCATCGACTCCGAGTGCCTCACGCGGCGCCATGCCACGCTTGCCCGCGCCCACACGACGATCTCATTGCCCTGCGCGAAAAGGCTCGTTCCGTGGAGTCGAGTGAGAGCGATTGGGCCGCCGCCGTCGAGCCCACGGGATCGGCGCGCTCGCAAGTGATGACCGAGAGAACACCATTGGGGCTCCGTTGGCGCGTGGGTGAGCCTTCGTCCGATCGTCGGCAAGCACGGCGGCGCTCTGCAGCATAGAGAAGGGGGCGTCCACTCTCCTTCTGTCGTACAGGAGCAGTGGCACCTGCAGACCGCTCTGCTGCGCTGCAGCGACCTGCACCTCGCGCGCCAGCTCCACGGACGCGGCCGAGGCGCCTCGAGCAACGCCAATAGCCCAAACCATTGTGTCGAGCTCCCAGCCGCCGCTGCGCCAGCGGTCCAGAATGACCTCGTTGTATGCCATGGCGCACCAAGGGTACCGCCTCCTCTCCCGGCACAGCCTCGGCTTCATCGCGTCGAGACACTGCCGCAGCTGCCGCGGGTCGAACGGGCCGCCATAGACCGACGTGTCCCAGCCGGCGCCCTTGGCCTCACTCTCCATGTAGACGGACGACGCGCTGCACCCGGGCGTGCAGTTGCCGTCGCCGCCCCTCCTGGTGCACCCTAGCTTCGTGCTCCCCACATCGAAGGCGTAGCAGCACGAGATCCGCCGCCGGGTCGCCGACACGTTGGTGTTGAGGATGACAAATGGCAGTCGGCCGTACCCCGCACGCGTCAGCCTCACCACGTTTAGCGGCGCATACATGGCGGGCATCTGGCGGTTGATGATGCTAGCCGAGGTGCGGTCGCCGTTGCGCAGCAGCGAGTCTGGCCGGCCGAGCCACTGCCACAGGCGGCGCCCCGAGTCGGGAAGGCCCTGCATCGACGAGTTGGATTTTGTGGAAAACTCGAGGAAGCCGTTGATGTTGATCCCCCGGCCATCCAGCACGTGGACAAGAAGGCCGGATCCGGGAAGATCGCCAGAGGGCGCGCCGTGGCCCCACTGCCAGTTGAGAGCAGTCAATAGCGGCATCGGTGACTCGAGGGAGTGGGAAGCTGCAGCATTATTAGCACCGCTCAGCTGCCGCCGAGCACGATGCGATCTGCTGGCAAGTGTGGCCGCGCCTGCCGTGTTGGCGGCCAATAGGCGGCCCATGGCAATGGCGCCAACCCTCACAAGGACGCCCGCACGCACTCGGCAGGCGCATCCGAGCGGGTTGGCGCCACTCTGGAGAGATGCAGAATCAACAAGTTTTTGCCCGCTGTGGCGGTACCAATTGCCGACCTGATGAAAAGCTATCTGCAGCGCCTCTTGCGCGATGCCGGTCTTTCATGCCGGCGATCCCCGAGGGCCTCGCAGTCTCGCAGACGCTCCTTGTCGTTCGTCCCTGCGCACGCAGGCAGGCTGCAGGCAGGTTGCAGGCCTGACCCTGGGGGGGGGGGGGGGGCGTTCGCAGGCAGGGAAGCGGAAGGGGCCATAAAGTAAAGAGGGTCTGCCAAGGGAGCTCCGCGCTCTGGGTTCGCTCTCTACAGAGAAAGGGGAGGTGCGGAGGGAGGTGGGGAGCCCAGGGGAATATTTGGAAAAGAAAGCGCGCGACGCTCACACAGTGCTTGCCACCCAGCACAGCACCCCGCCGGCCGCTGCGCCCCCGCGTGAAAGCGATCCACCCGGCGGAGTGCCGCGGCCTCTCAGTCGCGACCACACGCCCCGTCACTCGTCCGTGAAAAGTACTACCCTCTCGCCTGATCGCAGGGCACACCGAAACTCCTCCGAGGGCGCGATACTTCTGAAGCAAAAGATGAGTGCGGACACAGGAGTGGAGATCGAGCTGACCTCAGATTTCATCGCCAACAACTTTGTCGAACAGTACTACGCCGCGATACACAAAGACCCGGAGCTCGTCCGCAAGTTTTACGGCGCCGACTCGGTGATGACGCACCTCGAGGCGCGAATGCTGCCGCGCCAGCCCTGGGGGGCGGGCACTCCCATCGACCCCCTCCCCCGCGCCCCGCAGACGTCGTCGAAGGAAGAGCCCATTTTGGGGGCCGCCCTGATTCACGAAAAGATCGTTTCCCTCGGCCTTCAAGGAGGGGCGGGCCTGTTGCACCGCCCGTTGCACCGCCCCGGGCCTGTTTCCAGGAGGGGGGGTTGCCATCTTGGCCCCCCCCCCCCCCCCCACCCCCGCCCCACCGGTCCCGAGGGAGTGGCTTCTCTGCCAGGCCTCGCGTGCATCCAGCACCTGGTCGCGCAGTCGTCGGCGGAAGGTGCCGGATCGGCCGTACTCGTGGCGCAAAACAGAGACGCCTCGCGGACCTCCCCCCCCTCCTCCTCCTCCGCTCGCCCTACGCTGCAGGCATCGTCATCATGGTGGTGGGCACCTTCGCGCGCGCCAACGAGTCC